AAAAGTATTGGTTGAACGTTTATTATCAGTGTGACTAAGATACCCACCAAAGCAACTGGAAGAAGAGAGTTTATTTGGCCTCACTGTTCCAGGGTACAATCCCTCCCAGGAGGGAAGTCGAGGCAGCAGGAGCTTGAGGCGGCTGGTCACACATTTCATCTGCGGTCAGGAAGCAGAGTGGTGAACACCAGTGCTCAGCTCAGTTCTCCTTTTTACTTAGTCCAGGACTCCAGCCCATGGAATGTGTCTGTGTTAGGGTTTCTGTTGCTGTGAAGCGACCATGACCATGGCAATGCCTATGAAGGAAAACATTTCATTGGGTGGCTTACAGCTTCAGAGGGTGAGGAGGAGGAAGAAAGGAGGGAGGGAGGAAGAGGAGGGAGAGCAGTTATGGGGTTATACTGTCATGGCAATACCAACCTACAGTGACTTTTAGTTTCACTAAAACTAATGACTCAGTCCATCATCACCACGGTGGGGCATGGCGTTGTGCAGGCAGACACGGTGCTGGAGAAAGAGCTGAGAGTTGCTGTATCTTGATCCGCAGGCAACAGGAAGTGAACTGTCTCACTGGGTGAAGCTTAAGCATAGGGAGACCTCACAGCCCGCCTCCACAGTGACGCACTTCCTCCAACAAGGCTACACCTACTCCAACAAGGTCACACCTTCTAATAGTGCCACTCCCTTTGGGGGCCATTTTCTTTCAAAGCACCACAGAATGGTACCACCTGCATTTCAAGTGGGTCTTCCCACCTCAGTTATCCTCATCTAGATGACTAGAGGTTTGTTTTCCACCAAGTCTAAATCTGTCAAGTTGACAAGATGAATTACTGCCCAGCTAAAACTTAACCACTGAGAAGGGGGCTCTAAGGAACCCCGCTGTTTTGTTTATCCCTTCCATGGTTCCCCCTGACCCCCAATACAAGTTGACAAGTATATGCTGAGACTCTGTCATCAGACAAAGTGCCAGGAGTCAAGAAGAAAAAATAAGAGGTCCACAGATCTCAACTCTGTGCTCAGATGGATGTCTACCTCTTGATCTACGCAGGTTGACATACACGAAATGACTGTGAATGACTGAAGATGGACATCGTCAAATGAGCAGCTACCATCAATGTTAAAACTCCAGTAGCTTCAGTGTGTCTGTGTCAGCACTTACCTCACACCCGAGCTCTTTCCTTCCCTCCATATGTGTGAGCACTGAGAACCCAATGCTCCAAAGTCTGAATACGGTAGGAACAACAATGACCAACAAAGCTTTTTGACTCACTGAGCTCTGGGCATCCAGTCACAATGGCATCATTAATTCCTTGACTCCCAGCTCTGAAGCCCTTCATCCAGGGCCTTTCAGCCAGCCTCCCTGCTGACCTCAAGATCCAGCCACCCACTCTTGCCTCTGGCTCCCACAAAGAGCTCCACACAAGAGCCCTCATCGTGAAGTGGTGGGCAAGCTGTCAGTGAAAACCCTTTGTTGAAATCTGAAATCTAATTCTGTGACATTGCGTGCATTAGGATACACCACAATTTTTCTAACTCCAGTTGCATGTAAATTAATCGGCTGCACGGACACCACTCCTTAAAACAAAGGAGGCTGGTTTATAGCCAGACTCCTAGCTATAAATGATCCCGCGGCAAGGTACCACAGGCTTGTGGGCTGTGCCAGCACTCACCTTTAGTAAATGATGAAAGGTGACCTCCTACCATAGAAGGTGGCCTCACCATCGTCCACCGTTCTTCCTGGTCATTCCCATGGGGACCTCCCACTCACCTCCTTGCAAGCCTGTCAGGTGTGTTCTGGCTTGTTTTTAGTTGGTAAATTAAGAAGTATCAAAAGTTAAGTCTTTGTTTTTGCTCCCTGTGATACTTCATGGCCTCGGGAAATATAGAGATGTCGCCCTGCCCCTCCCCTACACCAGGAAGTAACTGCCCCTGGTCATGCATGGACTCAGAAGGGCCTGGGGCACAGAATGGCAGCAGACTCTGAAACTGTGTAGAGGAGGCTGGCTAACAGCCAAGGGCCTTCCTGTGAAATGCTACATAGGGAATTATGGGAGAGGAGCTCAAGGTCACTCATGTCCCACATCATCCGCATAGACCTTCAGAAAACAGACAGAGGGTATCTAGAAGTCACAGTCTAGAAGTTTGTGAGGGCCAAGATGCAGGTCAACCCCCGAAGACCACATCCTTTCCTAAAAGAAGAGGCTTTCAGAAAAAAAGGACAATGATGTGCACTCAAAACCTAAGCTAGTGACAGCACGTCCCTGAACACAGATTTATCATCTTCCAAAAGGCCAACTGTTGACGAAGCGGCCTGCCCTCCACCTTGCACACTGCAAAGGGACAGTTTTACTTCCTAATACATATCAGTGGCACACATCACCTGTCATTAATGGTTAAGGTTATCTTGGGAGTGGTTTTAGTAAAACCTGCACATGAGTTAAATTTAAAAGAGTTAAACTTCATGAAATAAGAATTAAGAATCAGGCCACAGGTAAACAAGAACAGAAGACCAGACACGCAGCTCGGTGACTTGGGCAGGCCATCTTCGCAGGCTCAAAACGTGCACAGGAAAGAGAATGAGATGCAGAGGCGTCTTGGTTGGTCCACGCTCAGGGTCCACCTTAGTGTGAAGCATGATCCATGTAGCTGGCTACTGTGATTGACTGGAGCCCAGCCAATGTGTTGTGACTGGATGAGATCTGGCTACATTCTTCACAGGTGCACTGAAGGCAAGCTTCCTGTTAGTTTAGTGCTAAGTTCTGATGCTGCTTTTTGCCCAGAAGCTTAAGGTGGACAATGTACTCGTCTCAGAGGACTTAGCCAGCTTGCAATGTTCAAGGCTCTGGGAGGAAGAAAAGAAGGGAGAGAAAGAAAGAAGTAAAAGGAAGGAAGG